CTCAGCCTTATCCCAGTTCACCAGGTTACCTTTGCTGTTTGCGCCCTTATCAGTAGGTATAGACATCACATCTGGGTTCCAGGAAGCAGCAAGGAGGAAGGGATGAAGCATAGCAACAGGTGTGCCCAAGCTCATTATAAGGAGTATTAGAGAAGCTGTCAAAGGAAACTTCCACTTATATATCATTGATCAAAACATAATCATAAGCATATGGCCACCCCAAACAAGGGAGGCTGGGAAATGCAGTTTTAATATCCTAAACCATTTGCCCAACAAAAAGATGGAGGTGTCCATTTTTGGTAATTTATCTCAGTAATCATGAAATAAAGGGAGGACAAATACTAAGGCACATTACAGTATTTGTCATTGCCACATTTTTGGAAGTAAAGTATTAGTCTGGGTTGTGTAATATAATTCTTCCTCCTAATTTCCCTACATTTAAGCTTCAGTGTCATCTAACTGACTTCATATTGGTTAAGATGTAACTTAAAGATCCCTGAGGGCTCTGGCTGTGGAAATGGAAATGAGATAGGGGGGCACTAAATAGCATTAACTCCGTGTAATGAGGTTCGCTCTCAGTATCACACTATTATTTTTGAATGGTTGTGCTTGAGTGTTCTTCCTCTGATTATCGACTTTAGTTATTTATTTTTAAACAAATTACCAAATCTAACTACTCGCAAATCATCCTTCCACACTGATTCCCAAACTTTGTTTTCTAGTTTATATGACAGCCATCTCTACATCACTATTAACACTTTGGCTACTGTCCTCTGGACCTTCTGAAGCATAGATGTTTCTTTTTTGGTAGATGTTAGAACTCAGTGAAAAAGCCTTGGCTCAGTGGAGGAGAGAGAGAACGAGAGACACACTTTGGATAATTAAAATTCATCAATGGTTGGGCCAACTTACAGATCATTAAAAGGACATATCCTCTATGGCCAAAGAGATGTAAATAGGTAGTGGTATTTAAAATGTGGGAATATAGCTAGTAATCCTGTATAGTATGTTTTAAAGTTGTTAAGAGACTAGATCTTAAAAGTTCTCATCACAGGAAAAAAAAAGTATGTATGGTGGCAGATGTTAACAATGTACTATGGTGATCACTTTGCAATATATACACATATCAAATTACTATGTTGTACATCCAAGACTAATATAATATTACATATCAATTATATATATCAAAAAGAAATGAAATGAAAGTGGGAATATAATTATAGGAAAGTTGATAGTGAAACGTCATAAAGGTTGAAAGGAAATCTTGCTTCAGGTGCCAGTTAAAGTAGGCCATCAAGTTAAAGAAAAGAAAAATAATCCGTTTAAAATATGTAAGTGTAATAAAGATAGGTATTTTAGGAAGAGAATTATCCTTAAAAATTATCCATCCAAATCCTTGTATTCTATGGATGAGGTTCCTGAGATTCAGGGAAGTGAGCTGGAAACACTCATGAAATTAATTACAAACCTCTTGGGTTTTTCCCCAATTATTTTCCCCAATAATGTCAATTTTTGGCATTATTGAATAATAGTCACTTGTCAATATAAGATTTGGTCAGATTCTCACAAAGAGATACAAATAATTTACAATGATGTAAATTATTGATAAATAGGAAAAGTTATGAATGTAAATATTGGAGCAGATCCCTAAACTCCTAAAAATAAGGGGATAGAATTATTCATAAAAATGACAGAGTTCAGAAGATGAAATTAACATTTAAACATAATATTGTCGGGATCCCTGGGTGGCTCAGCGGTTTGGCGCCTGCCTTTGGCCCAGGGCGCGATCCTGGAGACCCGGGATCGAATCCCACGTCGGGCTCCCAGTGCATGGAGCCTGCTTCTCCCTCTGCCTATGTCTCTGCCTCTCTCTCTCATTATGTGTGACTATCATAAATAAATAAAAATTTAAAAAATAAACAAACAAATAAATAAACAAATAAATAAATAAATAAAATATTGTCTTATTTGTGCATTCAAAAGAGCCAGTCAGTATTTAAGCATGGCTATCTGACTCCTTACATTTAAAAGTAAAACAAGACAAAAGTAAACTTTACTCTCATTACTTATTTCCTACACTTTCAGTTTCCCATAGTTTGATGGGCAAGATATCAATTTGGGGGGTAAAATCTAATGAGGAAACTCATCAACCTGGCCATCAGGACAGCTATAGCTAACATTGGTTGTATCTGGTCCCATTTATTTCTCCACTAGTTGCTTCTTTTCAATATATTCTTCAAACAAGAATTTTAAAAGTATTTCCTCTGCTTCTTGCTTTGGGTGATGAAGGAAAGAATCACTATGATCTACTTAACAAACAGACCACAGAAAATTTAACCACGAAACTAAAAATAATTGCTGGCTTTTTATCATTTCTGCATCTTCTACAAAATGCGGAGAAAGTCAATACTAATTTCTATCATTGCTTTTTATCCCTGGCCAATGTGCTCAGAAGACTTAAGCCGGTGCACTAAAGAAGTAGTTCCTGGTTCTTTTGAAAGGCACTTCTGTCAATTTTGCTGCTGTGGATATTGATCTGACCTTTAAATTCCTAAATTGAAATGGAAGCCTTTATGAAGAGTTATTATTATAAGACGATATTAAGACATAATAGCCTTTAAAATGTATTACCACTTTCTTAACAAATGTTACCAGGATGGGAAAATAAATGAAGAAACAAACAAAAAAATTAGAACACAAAGCATTCTGTAGGATTTGTGGTTGGTTTGTTCATTCTTTCTCTTTCACTCCATTTTTCCTTCCTTCTTTCCTTCTTTCCTTCCTTCTTAGGAATTAATTATTGAAAATCTGTTACTTAATGATTTCATAATATTAGTACATGCTCTGGCAATATCTCAAATGCTTGGGAGAATTAACATAGGAACAGGCTGGCAGCCTGCTGAACTCATTTAAAAGACAGCAAATGCTATAGGGGGGGAAAAAAAAACCCAAAATGAGTGCTAGCTGGTTTTTAAAGTAAAATATCTTACTTAGTTGAAGACTGGCATCAATTGAACTAATTCTTCAATATAGAAGGGTCATCTTTATACTGTTAAATCCAGAGAGAAAAGTTGAGTTATATTATTTTTGCAATAGTTCTGTGGAGAGGTGGCTTATTTCACTGTCTTGAGATCTTTTGTCACAGAATCATCATGAGAACTCAGACATAATTAAAATCCAGTCTGTTACACATAGATGAAAAATCACACAATCTCTAGAATCAAATAGATTTGGGGTACAGTGTCTCATCATAAGCATCCTGGACCCAGAACCTTTCCATTCACTTTGGGGAAAGCCTTCTCAGCTGGCTTACTCATTGACTATATACACAAAAATGCAAGAAATGTGACTTTCCTGGTGGATGGGTTCATTATCTCCTCTAAACTCGTTCTCCCCCACTGACTGTTCTAACAGGTGTTTTTGTCTTTATTATTTATAAATGAGGTTTTATGGTGTCATAGAGTCTCTCTCTCTTCCTCTCTCTGGAGCCTAATAGGGAATTATCAAATCATATTGTTTCAGGTCTCAGAGATGTTTCTCCTTGAGCTAACTTGCTTCTTCCTCAACTGTGCCTTTACACAAAAGAAGAAACAGCCTAGAGAGCCTCAGACTGAAATTGCTTCCCTGAAAGACTTCCAGGGCAACCTTTTTAATTTGAAAAAATATGAACCTTTTGGCTGAAGTTTGCTATCACTGATAAACAGGATTTTTCCTTTTTCCTTTGTGGGGGTTGCCTCCTCAGATAAATCTTTCTTTATTGTATTAGTTTTAATGCCTAATTTCTGTTTGCATTTTTTCTCTCTAAAATGTAATAAATGATGATAAATGCTTCAAGTGCTATAAAGTATATATAGTTAGTTTTCTTCTATCCTCTGAGATCTGCTCCTGTAGCTCATGCCCTGAGGAGGATGTGTTTGAAGCTTCCTATCACATGGAAAAAAATAATTCCATTTTTTAGGGTGCCTGGGTGGCTCAGTTGCTTAAGCATCAGATTCTTGATATCATCTCAAGTCTTGACCTCAGAGTCTCATGAGTTCAAGCCTGCATTGGGTTCCATGTGGGTCCATGGAGCAGCATGGAACCTAAAAAAGGACAGCTCTATGATCTCTACCCCATCTCTTTACTTTGTTTTTCCTTCCTGCTCCAGGCACATACCCTCTGCTCCAGCTTTACCTGCTATATAATTTCTTTCTTTTTAAAACTTTATTGAGATATCATTGACATATAAAAATTAAAGATATTTAAGGTGTGCAGCTTGATTTTTTTTCAAGGAAGTTCTATACTCGACATGGGGCTTGAACTCACAACCTCGAGATCAAGAGTCCCATGCCAACCAGGTGCTCCTCCTACTTCTGTATGCATTGTAAAAAGATTGCCACAATCAAGCTAAATAATTACCATCACCTCTACATAGCGACTATTCCGTGTGTGTGATGAGGTGATTTAATTTAAGATCTACCATCTTAGCAAATTTCAAGTGTATAATACAGTACTATTAACTATGGTCACTATGTTGTACATTATATCTCCAGTACTCTTTCATCTTACATAACTGGAACTTGGCACTCTTTGACCAATATCTCCTCCTTTCTTTCGTCCCTGGCAACAGCCATTCTACCATCTGCTTCCATGAATTTGACTATTTTAGATTCCACATATAAGTGAGATCATGCAGTTCTTGTCTTTCTGTGCTGGCTTACTTTACTTAACACAATGCTATCCAGATTCTAGATGAGTTCTGGGTTGTTGCTTCTGGGTACTCTGCCCCTTGGGTCATTGCTCTGGTGATCCCCTCTGGTGGGATCCTGCAAAGCTTACTCAGCCTTCCAGGCCCTGCTCGGGTTATCATTACTACTTCCTGGTATTCACCTCACAATTTTGTCTCCACTAATAAACTATAAGTTTTAAGAGAGAAGAAGTTGCAAAACCTTGAGTCTAGACTCAGCTTAGCCATTAATAACTATGTGTCCCAGAGAAAAACACTAAGCCTCTAAGCACCCCCATTTTCTCAACTGCTACATTTTTTGGGTGTCATCCTTGGGCAGGGGCCATGCTAATCTTCTCTGTATCATCCCAGTGATAGTATATGTGCTGCCAAATGGAGCACTCATCTGCTATATATTTTTTTAAACAAGTAGCCAAGTGTTAAAAGACTGGAGAAGAAAGCAGAAACTCATGCTGCCTCTGTGTTCTTAAAGTAGGGAGACATATTCTCTCTCCTCTAAATAAATGAAAATAAATATTTCAAGTAAATATTATGATTGTCCCCTAAGAAATATTAGCTCAGTGGAAAACAGAATATGTTTATTGAAGTATATGAGCTTAACACTAGGAATTATAAATCTAAATGATTAATATGAAATCTCAAGTTTCATGGAATGTTTAATTAATGAACTAAGACTTTCCATTCAAGCAGATAACTTGTAAGTTGGTTGAATTCGTGAACTTTTATCGGTAGTCTTTCAAGTTAAAAAAAATCCTTTAAGATTTTTTAAAGTATTGTTTATAACATAAGCTATGTCTTACGCATTCTCAAGGAGGGATTATAAGAAGCTTGTGACCTTGTTTGAACAGTTAAAATACTCAGGACATAATCACCAAGATGGCTTTGTAGGAAAGAATTTCATTTAAATCCAGTTAAAGTAGACTTTAATATTCATAAGAGGATAGAATTATTATCTGGATAAATCTATCACACAGAATATTGTGGCAAGAATTAAACAAAACCCAAGAGAATAATATTTTAATGGAAATTTTTCCTTTAGAAACTGGAAATAAAAATAAGAATAATTTAATCTTTCAGGTCATAAAAATGAACTTATAAAAATCTCCGATGACAAATGTTAAGGTACATTCACAGAACAAGAGGAAATAAAAAGAATCATTGAAGTTTTTTATGAAAATAACTTTTAAAACCTGAATAAAATATATTTGAAAACTATGGTTCACCAAAATTCATCAAAATGATAAAAACAACCTTTGCAGATAAATTTCTAAAGAAGAAATGGAAAGCATACAAAAGCTGCTTTTGTTCCTTCAAATGTTTTCCCAGGGGAATTCCATAAAACCTTCAGAGAATATAAATTCCAATATTATTTAAATTGTTTTAGATCATAGAAAAAAAGAAAGAAGTCCCTAAGTACATTTTATGAAGCAAGTACAACATTTGATATCATAGACTGTTAAGTCATCATTTGATAGATTCAAGGAGAAACAGCATATGATCATCAATAATCCTGGGGAAAAAAAGCACTGAGCCAGCAGCATGTTTTACAGAAAAAAACTCAAGCATTCCACTGACATCAGGAAAAATTAAATAATGTTCACTATCATGTTACAGTGTAACATTGGGCTAAAATATTGACCATTAAGCTTTTAAGAAAGTAAAAAGAAATTAGAGTTTCAGATATTAAAAGGAGATGAAAGAAAGAGAGAGAGAGAGAGAGAGAGCATTTGCAGGGGGAGGGGCAAAGGGAGAAGCAGATTCTTTGCTGAGCAGGAAGCCCAACCAACATGGGGTTTGACCAGGACCCTGAGATCATGACCTGACCTGAAGGCAGAGGTTAGCCACCCAGGGGCCCCTCCCCAGTTCATTGTGAAAAATGAACATACTTCAGGCATGTATGAAGACAAAGTATTCCAAGTAAATAGTGTTTAAATGTAAAAAATAAAACCCTAAAAATACAATATAAAAACTTGAGTAAACTCCTATAGAGCAGAAAGGCCTTTCTAATTATAGACTCAAACCCATAAACCATAAAATGAAAGGCTATAATATTCAACCACATTTTAAAAATTACTTCTGCATGAGGTAAAATATTAAAAACAAATATAAAAGACAAGTGATAAACTGGGAAAAATTACTTGTAACTCACATTACAAAGGAAAGGCTCACCTTCCTCTTACATAAAAATATCCTTTCATATAAAAATATGAAAAAATAAGTAAAGGGTTGAACAGACAGTTCAGCATAGGCAATATAAATTTAACTTTTAGATTTGTAAAAAGATGCTCATCTGCACTCATAATAAAAAGAATGCCAATTCAAACATCATCACACTTGTGGTTTTAATTTTTTTTTAATTTATTTATGATAGTCACAGAGAGAGAGAGAGAGAGAGAGAGAGAGAGAGAGAGGCAGAGACACAGGCAGAGGGAGAAGCAGGCTCCATGCACCGGGAGCCCGACGTGGGATTGCTCCCGGATCTCCAGGATCGCGCCCTGGGCCAAAAGCAGGCGCCAAACCGCTGCGCCACCCAGGGATCCCCACACTTGTGGTTTTAAAACATGGCCCCAGAATAATCTAGCACTCCTCCCATGAGCAGGTGCACTTTCCCTTGAATTTGATGTTTGTTATTTTCTGACCACCAACTCTAGCCTATGTGAGAAATATAGCAGACTATATAGGAGAGGTGTTGCTGTGATGGTTTGGTAGTTTGTACTACCTGGCTCTTTCTCTGAGAACCCAACCACCATGCTGTGAGGAAGCACAAGCCCCCCAGTGGACAGGAACCAACAGCTAGTACCAAATTGCCAGTCATGTGAATATGCTAACTTGAAAGGAGACCCTTCAGCTTTAGTTGAGCTGTCCCAGGTAACACTGCATGAAGAAGAGATGAATTGTCTTTATTAAGTTTTGCTGAGATTGAAGATTTATGAGCATAGTAAATGATTGTTTCATTTTAAGCCATTAAAGTCTAATTTAGGGTGGTCTTCTGAAATTGTTAAGGAAGAAGTAAAACTTTCATTATTTGAAGATGACATGATACCTATATAGAAAACCCTAAAGGCTCCACCAAAAAACTACTAGAACTGATAAATAGGGAATCCCTGGGTGGCTCAGTGGTTTAGCGCCTGCCTTCGGCCCAGGGCATGATCCTGGAGTCCCGGGATCAGGTCCCACATCAGGCTCCCTGCATGGAGCCTGCTTCTCCCTCTGTCTGTGTCTCTGTCTGTCTCTCTCTTTGTGTCTCTCATGAATAAATAAATACAATCTTTAAAAAAAAAAAAAGAACTGATAAATGAATTCAGTAAAGTTACAGGTTACAAAATCAATATACAGAAATATGTTGTGTTCTATATGCTAATAATGAATTAGCAGAAAGATAAATTAAGAGAATAATCTCATATACAATTTCATTGAAAATAATAAAATACCTAGGAATAAACCTAACCAAGGAGGTGAAAGACTTGTGCTCTGAAACTACAAAACTATAAAGCTATAATGATGAAAGAAATTGAAGATGATACAAGCAAATGGGAATATATTCCATGCTCGTGGATTGGAAGAATAAACATTGTTAAACTGTCCATACTACCCAAGGCAATCGACAGATTCAATGCAATCCCTATCAAAATGCCAACAGCATTTTTCACAGAACTAGAATAAATAATCCTAAAATTTGTGTGGAAACACAAAAGACCCCAAATAGCCACACCAATCTTGAAAAAGAAGAACAAAACTGGAAATATCACAACCCTAGATTTTGAGATATACTATAAAGCTATAGTAATCAAAACAGTATCCTACTGACCCATACTAGACACAGAATAGGGAGCCTAGAAATAAACCCATGAATATATGGTCAGTTAATCTTTGACAAGAGGCAAGAATATGCAATATGAAAAAAAAACAGTTTCTTTAACAAATGGTATTGGGAAAACTAAACAGCTACATGCAAAAGATTGAAACTGGACCACTTTCTTATAAACCATATACAAAAATAAACTCAAAATGGATGAAAGACTGAAATGTTAGAACTGAAACCATAAAAATCCTAGAAGAGAACAGAGACAATAACCTCTTTGACATTGGCTGTAACAACATTTTTTCTGAGTGTGTTTCCTAAGGCAAGGGAAATAAAAATAAAAATAAACTATTGGGACTACATCAAAATAAAAAGCTTCTGCACAGCCAAGGAAACAACAAAACAAAAAGGCAACCTTCAAATGGGAGAAGGAATTTGCAAATAGCATATCTGATATGGGATTAGCACCCAAAATACATAAAGAACTTATATAACACCACACCCAAAAAAAACAAATAATCCAATTTAAAGATGGGCAGAAGACATGAACAGACATTTCTTCAAAGAAGACATACTGATGGCCTGCAGACACATGAAAAGATGCTCAAAGTCATTCATCATCAGGGAAATGCAAATCAAAACTACAATGAGATATCACCTTGCACCTGTCAGAATAGCTAACCTCAAAAATACAAGAAACAACAGTGTTGGTAAGAATGTGGAGATAAAAGAACTCTGGTGCACTGCTGGTGGGCATGCAAACCAGTGCAGCCCCTGTGGACACTAGTATGGAGGTTGCTCAAAAAAAAAAAAATTAAAAATAGAATTATCCAATGATCCAGTAAATTCTATTACTGGGTATTTACCAAAGAATGCAAAAACATTAATTTGAAAAGATATATGCATCTCTATGTTTATTGCAGTATTATTTACAATATATAAATTATGGAAGAAACCCAAGTGTACTGTCCAATGATAGGTGAATGGATAAGGAAGATGGGCATGTATATGTATATCTGCATATACATATATGTATATATATGTTTATATATATACACACAAAATATTATTTAGTCATAAAAAAGGAACAAAATCTTGCCATTTCCAATGACATGGATGGATCTAGAGGATATGATGCTAAGTGAAATAAATCAGAGAAAGACAAATTCATAATTTCACTCATATGTGGAATTTAAGAAACAAAGAAAGAAAAAAAAAGAGGGATGCCTGGGTGGCTTAGTGGTTGAGTGTCTGCCTTTGGCTCAGGGCATGATCCTGGGGCCCAGGATCGAGTCTCACATCAGGCTTTCTGCATGAAACCTGCTTCTCCTCTCCCTCTGCCTGTGTCTCTGCTTCTCTCTCTCTCTTTCTCTCTCTCTCTCTCATGAATAAATAAAATCTTTAGAAAAAGAAAAAAAAAAGAGAGACAAACCAAAAAACAGACCCTTAGATACAGAGAATAAAATGATGGTTGCCACAGGGGAGATGGGTAGGAGGATGGGCAAAGTAGGTGATGGGGACTAAGAATACACTTACCATGAGGGCCTGGTGCCTCAGTTGGTTAAGCATCTACCTTCAC